TCAATATACCCATATTTCAATGTTTATGTTGAAATGACCCATCTTCTTTGAGGTATAGCTTAAAAATTAGGGTATGCTCATCACTTGAAACTAGCTTTAAATCAAAGTTTTATCTATAGTCTTTTTATTAGAATTAAAATCATTCATGGGAAAATGTGCCAGAGGGTTGAAATTGCCCTTGTAAATATACACTCTTTTTGACATGTTTGGGTTAGTATTTTGAAAAGGTGGTCTGGAAGGAAAATATGTCTTGAACAACACTGGTTGACCCTTAAATGATAACTAGTGTTATGTAAATCACTGAGAAAATTGAAAAAAGTCTGGTCCATACACAATAGTTTGGATTCTATGAGGTCCCGAATGCGGCTTATTTCAATGTTTAATCTGTTTACCTGGAAAAACTTAGAAAATTTAATAAATCAAGAATTTGACTATGCTCATCACCCAAGACCAGGTTTTTCTAATTGCTTTTTCACCTGGGTTTGTGGCAATACCAGTCATGCGACCACGAAAAATGCGCGCGGCACTTTTTTTGGACACTGAAGATGACAACATTTGATGTTGTCATATAATGCCATCCTCTTATCATAGTATAACTTAATTTATTTTAGTGAGTTTGTTAAAGAATTGTGCTCACTATATGCCTGTAGTATCTAAGATTTTTTTCATAGCATTAGATGATAAATTTAAGTTCTGGTTTCTTTTATTTTAGGTGATTGTATCTGTTCACATGTGTGTTGGTATCAAATTTTGCACAAGATTAAATTATTATTTCACATTCCTTTATTGAAATATCCAAATAAATGGAATATGACATCAAGTTGGAGGACTAAATCCTGTTTCCAAACTTGTTTTTGTAAAAATAGAAAATGACAACTTATTATGTTTGTTCTAATAAACACTATTGTTTGTGATATGCATATTTAATTTTTGAAATTATATTTCACTCTTTGTTAAAATGTGTACCAGGAATACTGAAATCTTTCAGACCAGCTAACAATACCTTTGTAACTTATATAGCCAAGTGTTCTATTTATTTCTGTTCAGATTAAACAAATGATGGGTAAATATTAGATTAGATTTTTGCCAAAAAATGAGTTTGCTTGTTTTCACAGCATAAAAAGCAATAAAATAAAGCAAAAGTACTTATTTTCAATTTAAAACCTTTGGAATGCATAGCTTAAAGTTTTCCACTAAATATTACAAAGTTTTCGTTCATTAAAATGTTGTTTTATCATCTTTAAAACCACATAAATTCACGAAACACTCCTAATATATGTCGCCATATTGATTTTCTTCGCGCATGCTCAGACAAATTGCCCACCTGTTGTTGGGCTGTTCAAAATTGACCGTTTCTAGGGTCACATGTCAATGTTTCTAAGGGGCGGGATTACAGTTGTATTTATAGAAATGTGTCAGATAAACAAGAAAGGCCGTTATTTTCAAAACGGAAAGCCCATTTCGCCAAACAGAAGATGTATTAATATTATAGACGAAATCAAATTTAAGGGAGGCAATAAAGATAAAGCTATTTTCATGGGAGTTTTGTTGATGTAGCGAATACGGTTTGAAGTCTGTTTAATGCGACAGTTTCAAAATTGTGGAGGCAATACTGCGAATCGAAAATATATAAACCGTTTGAAGCCTCTAAAAGCGCAAATATCTCGATAAACAAAGAAGGTCAAGAAATTATAATTTACATTTTCCATGTAACTGACCACACATCTACGTGCATGCATCAGGTTCGTTGACCCTGTGTTTATCGAGATATTTGAGCTTTTAGAGGCTTCAAACGGTTATATTTTCGATACAGAAATGTTTCTAATATCTTTTCCTTTAATATCATGAACGATTGGACATATTGCTGAGGAAAAAAAATCGAAATAGCGGCAATTGTGAGAGGGTCTCTGGCTTGTGTACATGTTTCCAGGCGAAATTCCAAATTACCTCAACAATTATTGAGTCATTGAGACTGTCGCATTAGAGATTTCAACTGAAACTGCGTCAACAAAACTCCCATGAAAATACATGTATCTTTATTGCCTACCTTAAATTTGATTTCGTTTGTAATATTACAGTCGATTTCACCAAACTTTGACCGCAAATGTTTCAAACTTCGTTGCGAAGTTCGTTGCGAAGTTCGTTGCGAACTTCGGAAGGAATTTGGAACATTTGCGGTCAAAGTTTTGTGAAATCGACTGTAATATTACAAACGAAATCAAATTTAAGGTAGGCAATAAAGATCAAAAGTTCATAATGAGATTCATAAACAGTTTGTAAACTACGCATTTGATTGGCTTCTTTTACTTCAGGGACCAATCATGCAGGAACTTTGTTTACTTGTAATACATGTAATGCCGTAATTCCGTTTTGAAAATAACGACCTACAACTGTAATCCCGCCCCTTAGAAACATTGACATATGACCCTAGAAACGGTCAATTTTGAACAGCCCAACGTACTTTGCGAACGCATGTTGTTTCACGGTCAAACGGAATCGGCTGTAATAGAAGGGATGAAGCACCGGTAATGCGATCTTGTGATGTGTTCCATAAGTAGCCTGTTCTCTCGGAAAATTCCAAAACGCCTCCTGCCAACTCCAACAACGCCTACGCGCTTAATTAATGAAAATAAACAATGTTTAGCTATACTGGCTAATATGAAATGTTTAAATGTAGCGACCAACGTTTTTTTTAACATTATTTAGTTTTATTATTATTTCGTCATACGTCACGAGAACAGGCTACTTATGGAACACATCTCGCGAAAATGGCCAAGAATGCTCGCTGTTATAAATCACATAAATTAGATTGATCATTACTTTTTTGGTAATGACTAGGCTTGTTCATGTAAGAGAACATCGACTGAGCCTTAAAAAACCCACAAAAAGCTTAAACGGATAGTCTAGAAGCATTTTAAAAAGTCACGTGATATTTGTTTCATCCCTTCTGTTTATTTCTTCCCTCGCCTTTTCGCTTGCTCGCGCGCCCGCAATCCTTGCTGTTATTTTCGTTGGAACGTCATGTAATATTTTCGTTTTGTCAATTTATTCGCCATATTTGAACAATCGTTCGAAGCAAAATGTTTCTGAGCGTATATAAGCGCCCTGTTTGAAGCTATTCACTGCAAATGCAAGCTCTTATGATTTATACAAGTAAGTGCAATAATTTAAATATATTACGTTATGATGTTTTATTCATATTACGTTTAATTAATGTTTTATTCATATT